ACCAAAACAACCTGCTGTGGGACACACTGTATGTTATTAACAGGAGTGATAGTTTAGCGATTTTTCACCTTCTGTATCTTGGACTGTGCTAATCTCCAAACTATCACATATTTTCAGTGGATGTGCTCTACTGGACTCTTACTTCACATATCAAATTACAAGGCAATCCATTAAGAAATACCCGAGATATAACACCTCCAATTTTGATCGAGTTTCTTCCTAATTATTTTTCTTCTCACCAAAAGTACGGAAACTTTATTTTATAAAAAAAAAAGCATACTTAACTTTTATGGATATTTTTCAAAGTTGCTACACTGATAGATCTCTTCAGCCTACAATTAGGAGTCTCACAAATGTAAGGCATATGAGCAAAGTTATTCAACAAAAACCGATCACATTTGACAAAAAAAATTTGCGCACGCCTTCGCAATAAGTCACGTGAGTTATCGGTCTGAATTTTTTCACTACTGTTTCATCTAAGAGTAAAAGTGGGCCATTTTTAGTTTTTTGTCATTCGGATTAATGGCAGATGATTCAGAGCAGCAAAACTATAAGGTTGAAGGACGCGCAGATACATAAGTATTGATTGGGCTAAGCAAACTAGATTGCCAGTTTCTAACTCAAGTTTTCAAAAGAATCATATGGGTGGACGGTTATTATCGATTATTCATTGCCAACTTTTCAGCACAAATTTACTAAATTTTATGAAATTCCCCTAATTAAAAAGCGTTTAGAGTCACGTGATATTAGCTTAAGCAACTGGTATAAATAATGATGTTTGATATGGCTGTACCGATTGCATGGGGTGATGACAAGAAACTGTTAATCTAAATTCCATGGCGTTACTATAACGAAAACTATTAACACTGTTATAGTGAGGAAAAACTACGTCAATATATTTTAAAGAATTTGGTTGATTCTGTAAAGCAAATGTATGTTCCGAATAATAGGGTTACAATCCTAAAGCTAATGTGGGTTACTATCGAGTGTGTATTGACAAAAAGTCACAATATGTGAAAAAAAGGGTGAGTCCAAAAAAGGGATTGAGTGCGCGACTAAATTAAATGAAATCAAATTGACGGCCAAACTGGTAGTTACACTTATAGCACTGATAAGAATTTTACAGCAAATATTCATTCATTAGTTATCCAGGCTGTGTTTTTTGTTCAACTTGGGGCATGATGGTTGATAAAACAAAAATCCAGCCTGGATAACTAATGAATGAATATTTGTTGTAAAAGTCTTATCAATGCTATAAGTGCCAGTTTAGCCACCAATTTTTATTTCTTTCCTTTAAGTCGCGCACTCAATCCTTTTTTGGCCGCACCTGTTTTTTTTTACACCTAAGGTGTTTTTGATTAGATGTAGCTTTGCATGATAATTCTAAAACAAACAAAGAAATCTGGAAATTAATAAATTGTTAACAACGTAAAAGTAAATATAACAACCCTAATACTAATATTAAGTAAATATTCATTTAACCTGCAAAAATATGCTCTCTTTTAAGTACTTAAGTACATGCAATTTGCTTTATTGAGGAAGCTGAGAAACAGGAAAATAAACATATGACTGTAGTGTAGGGAACCAACATACACTTTTGTAAAAAAACTAAAATTATGTTTCCCGAAACAAAGTTTTCTCAACAAAAAAAAAATGATGCATTTATTTCAAGACGTTCATTCATTCTCCAGCGAACTGTAGCTTGAACATGGAGCTGACTGACTACTCAAAGACTAAAGTTCATAAAAAAAGCAAACAAACAAAGCGAAGTGAAATTTTAATCTAGAATATTTTCAACCGTTTCAACAAGCTTAATTAATTATAAAAGTTATGGTGGGGAAGGTACAGAGCTCGGTCTGCTAAAGCAATGCTCGTTTACCTTTCTTAAAACCATTTCTCGATCATGGTGATTCACCAGTAAGCTTGATGACTTATAACGCTAAAATTGGCAATTCAATCTCTACGATTGGGACAGAACAAACAGTCCATTATACGACTTTTTTTGGTTATCAACAAACAAGTTTAAAACATTCTATCAGAGATAAAAACCATGGACACTAGTTATCAAAAATATGAAAAATTCTTAATATAGATACAGATGCTGGAGATATCCCACACACTACAAAATTTTCAAAATTCAGAAAACAGCTAAAAATAGAATAGAAAAATATATATCAAAATAAAAACAACGTTTCACTACTGTTAACGAGTCATCATCAGGTACTCAGCACAGCTAAACACGACAATTAAAAAACACCCAACTGGTGACGTCACGAACATAACCTTGACATAAGTATAAACCTACTCCTTGTGTTTTATTTATTACACGTATGTATTCCTATATTAAAATAGCTTATTTTATTTTACAATTATTAACATTATGTTCTCGACAAAAATAATTCTAACAATTTATTTTCACTATAATTTTATGAATCTTTAAAATGTTGGTAGACATGTGATGGAGCATGTCCATGTTCCATTATTTTGTTACTTAAATTCCTACCAGTCTCCCCTATAGAAAGAGTATTACAGTCCGCACATTCTACACTACTTACTTAACAGTAGTTAGTTTAATTCTATTTTAAAGATTGTATTCAACGTTTTTCCTGGTAAAAAATACATTTGCCTTCAATTGGAAGTTTATACGTTCTTTTCTTTCTTTACACAATGTTTTTATTGTACTTTACAAGCCAGGTACATACGGAATTACACAATAAACCAAATAATTTGAATGAATTTTCTTTTCCTTTTCTAATCTCGTACGATAATCATTCCTTATCACCAATACATTTTCCAGTTAATGTACTTCCTGATCCAGCTCCTTTTTCGAACTGCAACTTATTTTTGCTACAGCCATTACAGTTTTTATTATCCATATTCTTTGAGACTTGTGACGACCTGACGACCAATTCAATTAAAGATCAGTAGGCAAATATATATTTTTACCAGGAAAAAAGTTGAATATAATCTTAAGAAAATAGATTTAAACCAACTACAGTTGAGAAAGAACTAGTACAGACTGTAAGATTTTCTATATAGGGGAGACTGGTAGGAAATTAAGTACTACAGTAACAAAACATGGACATGCTCCATCACATGTCTACCAACATTTTAAAGATGCAGAACATTGTGGTGAAAACATGATTGTTTGAATTACTTTTGTGGAATTTATTTTAATAAAGAAATACAAAAACCTATAATAAATAAATAAAATACAAGGAGTAGGTTTATAATTATGCTGAGGTCAAGGTTATGTTCGTGACGTCACCAATGGGTGAATTTAGTTGTCGTGTTTAGCTGTGATGCCACGTTAACCTTGGCGAAACGTTCTTTATATTTGATATATTTTTTCTATTCCATTCTAATTGTTTTCTGGATTTTTAAAATGATGAACTCTTGCATTTTCTATGAATGCAAAAGTAAGACTGTTCTTACTTTTTAAAGTCTAATACGACCACATCACTTATAAATATTATAGGCTACACTAAAGTAAGCTAAACATTTCTTACCAAAAATTTCTTCGTTTGATGGAGGAGGAGCCAGTTCGTTTATTGGTACAGGTGTAGGGGCAGGGGGCATTTGTGGTCCCGGTGAAAGAGAATTATCCTAGAAAAAAGTTTGAAAACAAACATATATTCTATAACATGGAATAATCCTAACGATAATAATACAACGCGCAGAGATCCTGAAATAACTATATGACCTATGATACTTAATGGTCCAATGGTCAGTAGCTACAATCTTCTATACATAATGTCAGAGGTACAATAATTATGATTTTCCAATATATGATACCTTATTGAACGTTAAGCTATATAGTCACAAAACTCCGGTATTATATATTAAAGAACATTAACAACAAAAATTCAGAATGATTTATGATCATTAATGGCCATTTTCTTCACATAACATGCTTCTTAAACAAATAACACAAAAATGGTCAGTTACTCCACAATCGCAGTATATAAACAAAGTATATAATAATAGGTCGTCAAGAAATTCATGTCGCTTTTTTGTCGATGAAAATTCCCGAACAAATTATATATCAAAACAAGACTTTATTAAATGAAATAGTTCCATTCTTATTGATTGTTGTTTGTTTGTTTGTTTG